AAAAAAAAAAAAAAAAAAAAAGAAAAAGAATATACACGATCCCCCACCAATTTCGATCTTTCGAAATTCCAATCGAACAATTAACGAATAACAATAAACGCGTCAAATTCGAAACAAAATCCAAATCCGTTCCCATTTGAAATCCATTTTCGAAGCAAGACTTCGCTTTCCCCATTAATGCCGCGCTCAATCGTAGCGAAATCGAGTTCACCGAAAGGAGGGGAGGGGAAGCGTTATGGAGCACCGTCGAAGCAAATTGCGCGCAATGACTGAGTTTACGTTAACAGAAGCTTGGCGGTTTTCTCTCGCGTGCAACGCAGGCAGGCAGCAAGAAGCCACGTTCCTGTTCGATCCGCGGCATCCCTCGAGTGTACCGTAAACCCTTGCAACAGCATTCCCCTCCGAAGGGGGATGGCAGTCACTTAGGCTCGAGACGCGTAAACACAAGCGGCGTAACACAGCATCCGGCCAAGGAGCAACGATCATAATTTACGAGGATCCCACGGAGCGAGAGGATGGAGTTGGGATAGGTTCGGATAGGGGGAAACCACGTACGTACGTGGCGCACGTTGCATCGGAAACGGGCTACTTTGCCAGGCGAAATAGCTGCGCAAAGAGACACGGTGCCGCCCGATTATTAGACGCGTGCCGTTGAATTATGAGCGATTACGTGCGGATGAACGCAGATGTATTCGAAGCTGTATTCCGGCCCCGACTCCTATTCGCGTGCATGGAGAAATCGAGATTTGATTTCATTACGACGCGATTACGGTGTTACCTTTTGAAGATAATTTATGGATCCCGTCTCTTTTGAGAGGAGAGAAGATATATATATACGGATGTAGCAGCATCTTGGGAGTTTCCCAGGATCTTGAGAGATCGGGAAACGTCGACTTTTGAAAAATGTACGGCAGCTTTCAAACGACTTTAACGATAAGTTTCCCGTATTCTTTATTTTCTAGGTCGCGAGGTAACATGAAAATAGTCGCTCGAAAGTCAGCACCAACCCTCCCCCTTCTTCCATCGATTCGCTATTTTCCACTCCAACACGATAATCCCTTCGTTCCGACACGCTCGCTCGAACGCGGCCTCTGCAGATCAGATCGGATCGGATCGAGGCCGATCGGGACACGCTTCTCGTCTCGATGCGTGCCGCGGCCCTCGAATATCGACTAGAGCGTGAGAATTTAGCCGAGCCCATCCCGAACGAGCCGTGTTCGCTCGGAAGCTAACGTTTTCCGACCATCTCCCCCTTTCCCTTAGGAAGACCCTTATTTCGGCACGCTCGAGCGTGAAGAGAACGCCACCCTCCCCTATTCCCCTATTCTGATATCTAGATATCTCTGGATATTCACGGGGAAACGGGGCTAAAGAGAATTTCTTCTCGTCGAGATGGAGAAAGAGAGAGAGAGAGAATAAGAGAAAAAGAAGAACGTTCGCTTATCTTTCAAAGACCTCCACTTGGAGGAGGTTACTTAACGATCGGTACTCTCTGCACGGTGACTGGATAATCGTGGAATTAAACCGGAGGGAGGTCGTGAGATTGTCTCTCATTGAGAACGATCGGGACGTAATTGGACGGCAATTATAATGCCACGATTTTTTCTTTTCCCCCTCTTTATAAATTGATACTCCATGGACGGAAGATGAAAAAAAAAAAAATACGATCGATCGATAGCTTGTTATTTTCGCTCGAATCTTCTTGGCGCCGCTTTGTCTCGCAAAAATATCAAACGAGATATTAAACGACAGTTACGATTCACGGTTCGGAAGGAAACGAGGTAATTTCGTCCCCATCCGTTTCGAGTTTCCTCCTTCCCTCCAATCACTCGCGCCCACCCAGGAAAGATTAATCCCCCTCTCGATTGCGTCACTTTCCCCAAGTTTTCCTTACGACTCCCCCGGCCACTCGATAATACCAATATTCACCTCCACCTTCGATAACATTAACAAGAATATACCGGCATATCCTTAATCGTAACACCCAATTCATCGTGCTTATCTCTCCCTCTCCCCTCTCCTAGTCCTGCTACTTTCAATCATTGAAAAAGTTCGTCCGCCTCGAAAACTCATTTCCTCCATCTTTTCTTTCCTTTCTTCTTCTTCTTTTTTTTTTTCTTCTTTCCTTTTCCCCCTTTTTTTCAATTTACCCTCGGGCCAATTGTCCCCGACAGAGCGGAGAGCGGAGAGCAGAGAGAGAGTGGACCAGGACGAGGGGAGGCGAGAGGGCGGTGGTGACGATCGAAAAGTCTCGAAAGTTTCGAGCTAATTTGATTTATCGTCGCAGCCACTTGAGATTCGCGACCCAGCTCTCGTTCCACCCCTTGACTCGGCGCCCTCGTTGCCGAGAAGGAATTAGGGGGGGTCAGGGATGGGATCCTTTCGATCCTTGCTCCTTTTTCCGCGCTCGAATTTATTATTGATTTCACCGCCGCCACGCCGGGGGGACCGCCGGCTGAATACGATTGATAAAGAACACCCTTGACTTTCCCCTCGCCCATCGTGACTTTCACCTCGATGAGAATCGAGCCGAGAAAAATTGAAGGATCTTTTGTCGAATCTTCCACGAGCATCTTCGCCCCCCTTTCGATTATTACGTTTCATTGTTCTCGGATTCGTCCTGCTCTTCCCGTGAAATTTCCCCTCGTCCGTTTTCCGCCCCCACCATCCTTGCAGATAATTCTATATAGAAACCTTGAAATATTTCATGATCACTTTTTTTCTTTTTTTATTTACACGCTTTTCAACGACACGATGGATTAATTAAATAATAAATAGAAAGGTTAAAAGAAGGGAAACGAGTCCGTTTTTCGGGATGTTTTGCGTTAACGGTTGTGCTCGCGATTATTCGAAGAATGGAAAGGGGCAAGGAGAAGGCGTAGGTGGATCCTGATACCCGATTCCGAGTAAACATCGTCACCTTTACTCGCAGCTACCACCTGTCCGATCAAACATTTGTCTTTACTGTTCGGTTGATTAAAACGCTCGCCGAGTTTGCACCGCGTTCGACTCGCTTCCAGCCGAGTGGTTACGAGTTGGGCGAGGGGGAGGGATAAACAGACGGGTAAGAAGAAATCTGAAGGGTGGAGACTAGTCGATCGCGCGGATTTTGACAGGGAGATATAGGGAGAGGAGGTAAGGGGAGAGCGAAGTGGAAAGGAGAAGAGGTTAATAAAAGAGAAGATGGAAAGGGGAAAAATCGAAGGTTGGAAATTTAGAAAGAAAGAAAAAAAAAATAAAAAGAAAAAAAATGAAAAAATTTAAGATCGCGAGAGAATAATAACGTTGATTCGAAATTGTGAAAGGAAAATTCAATGAAACGTACGAATAATATGTTAGGAATTAAAAAGGAAGAAATTCGATCAGAGGGAGGGAGAAATTACTCGATCGAGTAAAAAGCTGCAAAGAGAGAGATGCTTTGAGAAAAAGATACGAGATAGGGAAGAAATGCGTATGGTCGAAGGTAAAGCGTGTCTAACGTAAATGAAAGGAGGGAAACTCTTGCGAGCTGTATCAAAGAAGAAACCACGGTCAGCAGAGAATTAGATAGAAAAAGAAAATTACGGTTATAAAGAGACGAACATTGGAAACGAGCGAGAAGAACGAAGGAAAGGAAAAAGGGGGTACGAAGAGGATTCCTCTTTCTTCTCTTCTGGTTAGTCATTTTTAATTTCGAAACAACGAAGAAGAAAGGAAACATTCCGCTTCTCTCTCTTCTAGGTTCTCAGCATCTCACGGAACATTATATTTCGTAATACTTGCATGCCGACATTAACGATATACGGGCGAAATTTAATAGTTGAAGTTTAAGTAAGTACATAAAGTTATTTTGACGATATATTAATCGAATAAATAATTATATAATAAGGTTACACGAATAAATGTTACCCAAAGTAACTCTGTTCCGTAAATTTTCGACTAGTTAACTTCTTCGAGATCGATTAATGCTCAACAATACCGACGTACAGTCAACTGTGTACGTTATCATCAGTAGAAAAGGATCGCTTTAATCGGACGGTAATTACTGCTCAATGCGCGTTTCACTCGACTGCAAACCGATTGCTCTACAATTTACTCGCACGATTCCTTCCCCGATACTGTCTGTGTGCGTGTATGTGCGCGTGCAACAATTTAACTTGCATTTGAACAAATTCCCGTGGAAAACACTGCCGCTAATTTATCACTGTCTTTCGCTTCCCTTCTCGGCTCCCTCCAATTTCACGTCACACCCTTTTCGCTTTCTTCCGCAGAATCGTTCACGATTTTTCAACTTTAACT